TATTTTCTTATCTTATTTATTTAAAAAATTATCTTTTTTATCTAAAAATAATGACAAATCTCAACAATTAAAAGTGAAAGAATAAATTGTCAAGATTTTCTATACATATTATGTGTAAAAAATTGTTTAGTAGAATAGTTTGAAACTAGCTGTTAATAGTTTCATCAAATTTAATGAAGAAAATTGTTTAAATTATTAATAATAACAATTACTCATATAAAGTATCTTAAAAAATGTTTGTTTATGTAGTGATTAATTAAAAATATTTATGAAATTTTATGAATTAATTATCACATTGATTCCTATTTTATTGGAGAAAAAATTAAGCTAACTAAAATTTAAATAGAGGGAGTATATATACTACTAACAATGGCCAAAATTTCTATTTCAATTCTAACTTGGACTTTTAATAATCTATTAATTTTGACCCTAATTAAAAGTAACATGCTAAACCTAATTAAAATAAAACTAAAACTCCAAATAAAACTCAAGGACTCAATTCTAAAACAAATAATCTTAAAACTAATAATTAAAAAGGCCTTCTATACTTCTATTTTATTTTTTAAAATGAATAAAAAATTTCATTAGCCAAAGTACAAAGGGTAGATTGTCCCTGCTTCATTTCAATTTTAAAGAAAAATAAAAAGTAATAAATTTGGTTAGTTATAAAAAAAGGGAAGTCGAAAACTGAACCAAGAGTTGAACAGCCCACCTACACCCCAAGGTGAATTTTTCAGGGAAAGATTCCATTTCTGTCGTCTAGAAGCCATCAAATTGGAAAAAAAAAAATGATACAGTGCAGACAATAGTCTTCTATTCATAATTCTTTATGATAAGCATCACTTTGCATATTCATTTCTCGACATTTGCCAGGCATCTTCTAACAAATTATATCCAACACTTGCCTTCCTTAAACTTCTGTGTTCTCCTTAGCCAGCGCAGGTCTTGTGAGTAGAACGTATCAGGCTTGCAATCGAGTGGCTTTGCTCCTTGGCCTAAGTTGGTTATCAATGTCCACTTTTCTTCAATTTTTCGTGTTTTCTATAGGCACACTACTATCTCTACCTCTTCGGTCTTGAGCCTTTATTGCTGTTTTATTGTAATATTCATCATTTTGAATTGTTCTTTTAGCAAATTATTAGATTCATCATTTCAAATTGTTTTTTCTTATGTACCAAAAAAAATTTTCAAATTGTTTTTTTTTTTTTTTTGAAGGAAAATAACAGTAAATCTACTCCTACTTCTAATTTGTTGTGTCTAATTTTTGGGTATTAGTGTACCCTGTTCTTCAATTTCTGTGTTTTCTATAGGTACACTACCATCTCTACCTCTTTAATCTTGAGCCTTTGTAAATGTTTTCTTGTAAGATTCCTAATTTTGAATTGTTCTTTTAGCAAATTGTTATATTCCTCATTTCAAGTTGTTTTCTTTTTCAGGAAATATCTAAATCTAATGCTACTTACAATTTGTTGTGCTGTAGTTGGTTATCAGAGTGAGCTTTTCTTCAATTTCTTGTGTTTTCTACAGGTACACTACCATCTCTAGCTTTCAATTTTGAGCCTTTGTGGATGTTTTCTTGTAAGATTTGTCATTCTGAATAGTTCTTTTAGTAAATTATTAGATTCATCATGTCAAAGTGTTTTCTTTTTCAGTAAATATCCATAGATCTACTACTACGTCTATTTTGCTGTGCCTAAGTTGGCTATCATCGTCCACTTTTCTTCAATTTCTTGTGTTTTCTACAGGTACACTACAATCTCTTTCTCTTCAATTGATCCTGAGCCTTTATAGATGTTTTCTTGTAAGATTCCTTGTTTTGAATTTTTTTTTAGCAAATTATTAGATTTAACATTTCAAACTGTTTTCTTTTTCAGGAAATATTCGTAGATCTACTACTACTTCTAATTTGTTGTGCCTAAGTTGGCTATCATTGTCCACTTTTCTTCAATTTCTTGTGTTTTCTATAGGTACACTACCATCTCTTTCTCTTCAATTAATCTTGAGGCCTTTATAGATGTTTTCTTGTAAAATTCCTTGTTTCAAATTGTTCTTTTAGCAAATTATTAGATTCATCATTTTAAAGTGTTTTTTTTCAGGAAATATCTGTAGATCTACTACTACTTCTAATTTGCTGTGCATAAGTTGACTATCATTGTCCACTTTTCTTCAATTTCTTGTGTTTTCTATAGGTACGCTACCATCTCTATCTCTTCAATTAATCTTGACCCTTTATAGATATTTTCTTATAAGATTCCTCGTTTTGAATTGTTCTTTAAACAAATTGTTAGATTCCTCATTTGAAAGCTACTTCTAATTTTGCTCTGCCTAAGTTGGTTATCATTATCCACTTTTCTTCAATTTCTTGTGTTTTTTGTAGGAACAATTCTTAGTTTTGCAAAATTAGGACTACCCGTCCCACCTCGAAGCCAGACCAAGACTTTGTTTGGCTTGGCTCCTTTCAAGCTGATAGTGGATTTTTAATAATTGATACTTATTATTTAAAATCCTCATACTATCAATTGTTAGATATTAGCTATTAGCTACAAGGGTGTTTGGAAAGTTTAAAAAGCACTCACTTTAAAAACAAGTTCTTCTCTCACAAATCTAAAATTTTATTGGAGAAAAATACTTAACTTTACTTTTGAAATAGCTTTTAAGTAAGTTTTGAAAAACA